ATGTAAAGGCGTCAAAGTTAAAAATTTACTCTTTATGACTTATAGGTAATAAAAATACATACACGACAAAGTCTGACTCGTTTTTAGAAGAAATTTAGTACACAGATGTTATTTTAGTAGGTGATGAACTCAGTTCTGGTGTTGAATTATGTATTAGTTCTATAAATTAAAGAAATTTTTGCCATACGTCGAACAAACCATATGATATGATCTTGTTTCCACGGAGAATTTATAAAACTGAATACCTACTCATGGTATTCAAAAATAGTACGAAAAGTCCATTTAAATATTTCAGACACTATAAAACGGTGTTTTAGTACAGAAAATAAGTCTAACGGGAAATAATAGTTTCTTACAAAATGTCAGCGTAAACTTATTGTTTTCGAAATTACCGAAAGAATACTTTGTAACCGTACGAAAGGTCACACCGGTTCATCCAACCCTAGGGCATTGAACTTCAGATCACCTTATGACTGAAGTAATTTTGTTTGCAAAACACTAAGAAATCGTGTCTCTGAATTTATCTTCTATAGGTTTTAAAAAGTTGTAATGAGTACTATGTATATATATAACCCTTATAATAAACTAAATTACCTATTTAGTGACATAATAAATTACCTATTTAGTTTATTATATATACTAGAATTTGGTTTATACAGCGAAATAATGTCACAATTTATACCTATGTACTCTTTGTTATGTGTTTGAAATCAAACCGCAATTTATCAAATTCTATCAATTTATACACAACAACATTAATTAATTAGTTATTCTATTACACGTTAAAAACTTTTCTCATCTATCCATTGACTGGCGAACATCGTATGACAAATGACCAGCTGTTTTCGAGGTTATCGCATACATAGATTCAGATGTCAGATGAAATCTCAATTACATAGGTACCACCTATTTGTATATTAACTCGTCGAGTACCGGTTTTATAGACACAATTAAAGAACAATAGGTCGCGGTCACCGGTGACCGCTTGGTGTTTGACAGTTTAAAATAGGTCAGTAAAAACAATTATGTTTTTTTAATTTGATAATATCAAGCCTGACGATTATACACTGTCCTTTTCTTGTCATTTGTAGAAGTTGCTACAAGTACCTGTCTACATATAAAATGTATAGGCACATAGATATTTTTAGAGTATTCCTGTCGGGCACATCCTTGACGCTAACGGGCACGGAAATATGTAGTTAGACCTTAACCATGCATATTTTATTTAATATAGTTCAACATCATAAGCATGTTATGGCGTATTTCTAAAATATCTACGTGTTAAATGTAACGTAACACCCCCTATTTACCTACTGGGTTATGTATTAAGCACCATGTAGTAAGGCGCCATATGTTCCGTGCTAAAATACTCAAACCTACAATATTTTGTCGGATCCAGAAATTCAGAAAACCCGAGAGCTGACATAATAAGAAATTTATGCGTACTTAAGCTTTCCCATATACACTTACATGCAAATAATTATGTAGATACTTATACCCTTATACCTAACTAACGGATCCATCACAAAAGAATAACGCGCGTGTGTGTGTACCTGTATTATTGTCTACGGGTGTCGTGGCGTAATAGTTTTTATTTCTTTCTTTTCTTTATTTACCAATTAAGTAAAGTGTATACCTACATACTTAAGTACCATTATTCGTTTTCGTACATAGGTAGGTACCGTTATTTTGTCATTTTAATGTATTTACATAAACGGGAAAAGGTAGACAGAAATTCATACAATATTCATTACCTACATACGGTATCAATATTATAGCTATATTTACAAGCAATATTCCCATACACAATCCAGAGACATCTTATCACAGTTACCAGACCAATGCCAATGGCGCAAAAGCCAGGGAATCCTTGCTGCAAGTAAACTTAAAACTCAACTCAGTTAAAGTATTTATTTTATATGATGTTCTATACGAATATAGACCTTTTTATTACCTCTTAAAGTTCTATTTTATATGTACTTAGATATATTTTGATTTAGCCGTTTAGACCGTAAGAATTACCTATACTTAGGGTCCTTTCAGTACTAGAATTTGGCACAAACTGTTTCAACTAAGTAGGGGCATTTATTACGCATGTAAGAACTGATAATCGATGCCTCACATTATTTGACTTAAATGCAGCTGGTTAAATTTTATGCAGGAACCTACCTACTTGGTAAAACCGATATCGCACTAGGTATATGCGATATGTTTACCAAGTAGGTATCTAAACTGATATCGCATATATGTAGTAGGTAGGTTAAAAAAGGTACATATTGAATGGAAACCATGGAAGGTCTATCTCTATGTCCGTCTGTCTGTATTGATAACTAGCTTTCCGTCCGCTGCTTTGTCTGTGCAGGCAAAATAACATAGGTACCTACATAGCCGCCTATGTAGTTATACTTATTTATTATACTTATTTATAAGCTATTCGTGTAGGTACGCAATAATCGGGGTGACATTTTTTACTGAGAAAAAACCCTATAAATAAATAAGAATAAAAAAAGAGATGTATAAATAATACATAGGTGCATCTATAGGTAATATGTACGATGTATGTACATTTATTATGAGCCCATTACTGTAATAACTCAACGATAGTTCGACGACCGTTTGTCTGAATTGGTTAACGACAAGCCATTTTGACCTTTAACCCCCGTACTTAATCGCTTCATTGTTATTTGTTCGCTATGATAAAAGTGTTATTACTGTTTTGTTATTTGTCTATTTTGGCGAGACACACCCGTTTCTACGTTACTGTCTGAATACTATGACAAATTGGTTTAGTGCCTTTAATCATTTATACGTAGACAATTTATTTATTAATTGGAAACCAACAGCTACACATAGAAAATAAAAGGCAACTGCACAGTTGGCATAGTGACTGGGCAACTGGCTGTCGCGCAACGTGTAGCATGTCCGATGCCTGCACGGAGCAACTCTTTGTGTGATCCACAAATTGTTCTTTCGGGTCTAGGTCTCATGTGTATATGACATTGAATGTTTGTAAACACACCCACTATACACGAGAAAATCCTAGTGTGGGGCAAAATTTCAAAAATAAAACAATAACAAATAGTGGCAAAATTAATTCAAATACTCAAGGTCTTTGTTTATGTATTAGGTATTTGTTTTTTTACCTCGAACAGATAACCAAAACGAATTTCCTAACTTCAGTCTACCACTAATCAGTGAATCTATTAGCACTTTTTGCCAACGGGAGCTAACGTAACTCGACGTGTAACACATTCGAACACAAAGAATGAATCAACCGGACGTTGCATTGGTCTATCATCAGCAAAATATATCCGTAGATATTGTAAAACTATTTCCTTCGACCGATGGCATGTAACAAAAGATTTATGTGTCACTGCAACGATATACATATAAACATCGTCTAGCCTGATGAATAAATTCTGTTTACCGTACACGAGCACTCTTGACTTTTGCCCTACATTTTCTAATCACGAGGCATACGTTATAAATCATTGATCGAAATTATAAACAGGGTGTTGCGCTACACTGTACGGCACATTTAAAATCGTGCATTTAAGCCAAGTCAGTCAAGATAAAACGTTAAAATTAAATGTTATCTGTCAATTAGTCCAAGGTGATTTTAGAAGGCACATGGCTGACAAAAAATCACGTCAAGAATGGTAAAATAATACTGTACCAATCTACTGCAATTTTTGTACCGTTCAATTTCTGCACAATTTAAAACAAATACCTATTTGTGTGATCTGCAAGTATTTTTGGTGTTCTGCATCTGGATATTCTGTTTATGAGATTTGTGTTTGTATTTATAAATAAACATTAGGACTTGTAAGTGTCACGAGGGATGATGATACTGATAACTAAGTACTTACTTAAAAGTATGTCGTCTTACTAAAAGAAAAAAATATATAAACATCGGTTCTTAGTCCCGTTTTGTACATTTAAACATAAAACCTTTAAAAACTTCATTACTATCTATTCAGTCATATCACCCTATATTTAAATGTCATACGCAATAGACCCATATAACCACGAGTCCTATTAATAGTTACATCCGACTCTGATTAGTTATCACACGATGGGCATGAACTTTGACACTACAAATTCTTAATATAATTTACTAGGTATATTAACGGACAATGCAGAGGTCCTGCCAAATTGCTTGACCTCTCGCCCTATTTTAAGTGATTCAAGGTGACCGAAATATTGAAGGGACATTCCTGAGATGTTCCATTGTTTCCAATTAGTATCGTTGCGAGGTAGTCAATGTTCTTAATTATGTGGTTACGAACTGTAGATTCAGAAGTCAGTTAACTAAACATATTACGATTACTTAGGTGATTATATTCAAATTCGTTTAAAGCTTATGAATAAATTAACTACGCAATAAATATTCATAGCTACATATGAATTGCATAGGACACAAAAAAATATACAACAATGCATCATTATTGTCTTACGTATAACGTAGGTCAGTAAAAAAGGAGTTTTTACATTGTGTTTAAACTTTAAATGCAATAAATATTATAATTGTACTATAAAGAACAGTTCAAAGTACACAGTAACTTCTAGCCGTTTGCCAAGCGTAACCGCGGAGGATTTCACGGGTTGCTGGAGCTTCGGCTCGAAGAGTATAAGTAGTCAGTACGAGTCTGACACTCCCTTCCGCCTCACCCAGACGGGAGCAGTCATTCGATAATTTTCCCCCCTTAAAAAAAAAGCCGTTTGCCAAGCGTAACCGCGGAGGATTTAACGGGTTGCTGGAGCTTCGGCTCGAAGAGTATGAGTAGGAACGGTGTGGTTTTTAGTCAATACGAGTCTGACACTCGCTGTCGCCTCTGTCGAGGCAGGAGAAGTCATAGGACGATTTTCCCCCTTAAAAAAAGCAAAATGTGGAGATTATGGCAAACTCAGCGGTTTCTGATCTTATAATCCTGCTCATATGTATGAGCCCCGACTCTCAATAGTTTTTCGAAACTTATTCATTCTTTTTTTTTCTCTAGTCAGCCGCTACCGACGTCATGGCTTGCTTCAACTCTTTGGTAGACATGGAGGTTCTGCAGCAGGAAATTGAAAATGCTAAGCCCACTGGCGAAGTCGACGAAGTTTTCAAAAAGTAAGTGTAATGATTTTTTTATTAATCACATAGTACAAGCAAAATTAATTTCAAAAGAGATAGAATTAAGTTCACATTTGTTTGATTAGTTTAAGCCATGTTACTTAACTTTCACATGGATACGAAAGATAACGCAATATTTGTTTGCCCTAAAACGTTTTTCCGGGTCGCATGAGAGATTTGTTCGTAAACAAATGTTATCTAAGCTATTTTCTACCATTTCTGATCTCTAGACGGTTAGTTGGTCATAATGTTATGAAATACGATGAAGTAGTATTGAAGAGCTAGATATAGTTGAAAATAATAAGAAAATTTGTATTAAATCACCCCATTATTGTTGAATTACGAAGAAATGGGTCAATTAATCTAACGATCCTTGAATATTTATTTAATGTAAGATTTATTACTTTCATTGTGATACCTTCCTACTTCCTGGTGACTGGTTTATTGATATCAATTGATAATGATTAATGACATTATTCATTATGCCTTTTTCTCGAAGCCGTACCTAATATGATGTGCCTGATTAAAAGCCATTACCGTAGGTAGCCCATGAACAATGTAACTATAGTACTTTACGCGACCATAGAAACCGAAAGCTATTTTCTTTTTCCGCTATTTTAATAGCTTCTAGTTGCCCCACAAAATAGTCATATTTAATATATATTTTTCAGATATTGCTCGAAGACGCCTCAGTTCAAGAACTGTTTCCGAAACATGACCGAGATGGTGAAGCCTTGCTTCTCAGCCGCTGAGCAGAAAAACTTCAACGTTATGTACAACGTTACGGAACAATTAGCCGACTTCGTATGCTTTAAAGAGGGTGACAGAATTGCACGTAAGTATCTTCAAGCAAGAGATTAAATTCAGTCTACTTTACCTTTATATGGGGCTTAGGTTACACCGCCATCTAGTAAAGCCGGCGGGAATTATTTCGTACTTTAGTTTATTTATACCACGACCTACAAAAAAGTTGGTACATTAGCTCTACAAATGATATGAAAACAGGTGAAAAATGCCCGCTCATAGCTCTCATTGGCTTTATTACGACGATTTGAAAAACTTGTGGTTTAGGAAAACTTTAGGTTTGTCCTATTAAACTGTCAAACACCAAGCGGTCACCGGTGACCGCGACCTATTGTTCTTTAATTGTGTCTATAAATACGGTACTCGACGAGTTAAAACTCAAAATACACCTGATGACTAAATAAAAACTCCTAATATATTTCTTTATGTCGTCGCGTGGGATGTAAACACGTAAGATAGCTACAAAAATACCGCGACCCACGCAGAAAGGGTTAAATTTCCAAATAAAAAATCAAGAAATTCCCGGATTGTTAAAAAATGAAATCACCGTTTTTTTCACAAACATTCGCACAGTTTGTACTCATTTGTCTTTTAGTAATTGAGGTGTACATGTCAATATGGTATGTTTACTGCTTTTCATAACGTGAACTATACGCTTATTTGCTTAATAACTCAAGTGCTTCGTTGGTCTAGTGGTCGGATGTGCGATTTCTGAGTAAGGCACGTCGTGTTTGATCCTGGTCCGAAGTTATTGGATTCGATTTCAAAAATGTATACCGCTGTCTTTCCTATCGGAGATTAAAAGGCGTGATTAACTCGAGAGTCGACATCTAACAGTTGAATTCTTATATTTCAGTGTTCATAGCAGAAGGTGGTAAGGAATGTTTCCAAGACCAGCAGGACGGCATACAGGAGTGCTTCAGCACAGTGTTTGATAACAAGACGGAGGCGAATTTACAGAACATCTCCGTCAGCGGCATCATGGAGCTTGAATTTAAGGTAATTATTAATTTAGGTACCTATTTAAACTCTTATGTACGGACTCCGTCAACCTACTCCAAACTGTAATTATTTATTGGATTTTTGACTATATATCAAAACAGTAAAGTTAAAAATCTAATAAAGAAATTTGACAAAAAAATCGGTTTGTGTGCTGGTCACACACTAAATTACTTTTTACTTCTACTTGACTCCTACCTACATTGGCGAGTATATTTATGTCTCAGGCGAAGCAATGCGTTAGTGGGTTTCGATTCTCGAAAATTCTTAGTAATAGTATGACATCTGGAATAATTTTATACTAACGGTCTAAGTTTCCGGTGAACGTGTTTTTTTTATATCACATAAACTTCCTCCCAGTGATAGCATATTATATAAACTGCATAATTTAAATATTTACGTTATAAATATACCTATGTGATCACACAAAATTTAAACTAATATTAATATCATAAATATTAATAACTAAAACATTTACATCTTAAAATTACATAACATAACATCACGCCTTTTATCTCCGAAGGGGTAGGCAGAGGTGTACATTATGCCACTGTTATGAGTCCCATGTAATAGGGGGTGAGCCTATTGACATATACCGGGCACAATTCCAGACTCCGGTCTACTGTGATTTTTTGAAAAACCAAGTAATACTGTGCCCGACCCGGTAATCGAACCCGAGACCCCTTTTGCGACCACTCACTCATATTTGCGACCACTCGGCCAATGAGGCAATCTTAAAATTACCTTAAAGAAGTAAATCTCAGCTAAATTACGTTTTTTATTTACATACATTTAGAAATGTGTACATCTCTTAAAAATGTGAGTTTCATTTTATCCTTATTTGCTTGACGTATTTATCAGGTTACCTTTGATAAATTACTCGAAGCTCGCTACTTGCAAGTTTGTAAACCAATAGATGATAATGTTTGTTTTCTTTAAATAGATTTCTCAGCATTAAACCTCACTGCGAGGTTAAATGTAACACTTATTTCATAAATATGTGATCACGAGTGTATTGTACATGTTACTCTTTATGTGTTTACAATATTTACATTTTAGATGTATGACTTCTAGATGAGGACCCATAGGATGTAGCTCACTCTTATCCACAAAATCTTAAACTTTGAAAATATTAACCCATCGTGTGTCTAAACGTGGATCCACGCGATACACAATGTATTTTCTATTGTATCTCATATACGGGTATTCAAGCTGTTAAATAACTCCTCTAAATAAGCGAGGCATATTTTAATTATTTGAAGTTCAAAAGACCATTTCTTTTCAATAATAATAAGTTAATTTATCTTTTTAAAATGTTATAATTACGAAAACTAACGAATTTCCATCATCAACTACAGTAAGTAAGACCTAATAATTCTTACATTAATTTACGGTTAAATGAAATCTTAATATTCTTAAATTACAGGAGAAGCAGTGTGACCAGATGACTAGTCTACAGAAATGTGTAGTCAGCACTTTAGAGAAGTGCCCCAAACCCACTTCAGCCAATATCTTGGACTCACTCTTCAACTTCATCAGAAAGGCAACCCCTTGCAAACAGTTCGTAAAGGTAAACTCATTTATAATTTAAATAATATCTACTAATTATATCTTAATATCTGTATTATCTTTATTCTAATTATATCTACTAATTATACTTACTAATTTTAATAATTATAAATCTAATAACAATACACAATAGGTGTTTATAGTCACACGCAAAAACGTTTGTTTTATTCTGAATTAAAATTACATTTAAAGAAGTTATAAAAATACATTTTTTTTTTATATTTTATGGGTTGACGTTTGACCACTATCTCGCCTGGTGGTAAGCGATGATGCGGTCACTCGGGCCTTGAAGACACTCGCTATATTAATTACTAGATTTTACACGCGGCTTCGCTCGCGTCACAAAAGGGTAAAAAGTAGCCTATGTGACATATACCAATACATACAGCGCCATCTATACCTATACTTTTGTTTTCCCTCGGCAATATCAAAATTTTCCGGGATAAAAAGTACCCTATTATTTAATCCGGACTTCTAACTTTACGTCTGCAAAAATTCAGACCAATCGGTTTAGTAGTTACGGCGTGAAAGCGGAACAAACAAACAAACAAACTCACTTTCCGATTTATAATATTAGTAAGGATTCTATTTTCGGCTTACTCACGTAACTGTTTGACGAGGAACTCGATTAGTTTCAAGCCATGCTAGAGACTCATATTCATGAGCAGCATTCCGCGACCCGCGACGCGGCGAATGTCGCGCTGCATGTGCTGCTGTTGCTAATAAAAATACTGTAAAAATCTTTAATGAGAAGGCTGGCAACGCCTTTGTAACTCCTATTGTGTAGCGGGTGTCTAGTCCACACGGTGTTGATCACTAACCATGTGATGATCCGGCTACTAGTTTGTCCTGTATCCCATAATTAAACACCTTTGTACTTAAATATCTTAACCTATATAACATTTTATATTCTTAGCTACTAAATGTTTTTGCCTGTGACTAAATACCACTTCAATGTACATATACAGTTGACTTTCGTTAATTCAAACTTTATTCAAAGTTACACGAGGTCCCTAGAAAATATATCTTTATAAAGTCAAAATCAAAATCATTTATTGCAATTAGACCAGGAAGACACATTTGAGCGTCAACAAAAAAATTAAAAGTGATGCTATTTGCTGATCCCAAGGTTTAGATTCCTATGGAGAAGAAAGAGCAAGAAACTCCATAGGTTACTATTTTTCAAAGCTTTACTATACAATTCTCTAGCTATACACATTTCGAACTAAATCAATATATTTTTATGCATTTGGTAATTTGAACGAAGAGAAATCATTGCTACGTTACCAAATGATTCGTTAATTTAAACTTGTCAGCGCTACGACGCTCTCGCTCTCGATAATTCGTAGTTACAGAGAAAAAGAGACGGAAACATCTCAAAACTTGCGAGGTAAGTACACACGGCTACACATCGAGCTTTACATAACCAGTATAAACTGAACGTTAAATGTGCGGAAAGATGATGCGACGCGACACCAGGATAAACTGGTTTTATATAGATTGATGTGTGGCCGTGTGTACCTACACTTTGATGCAAGTTCAAATTTCGGTCCATTCGATATTTCGTACATTCAACATTTCGAAATATTTTAAGTCTTCTAAAATTTCGAATTAACGACAGTCAACTGTATTACAATTTGAATATAATATTATATAATTACTAATCCATGTATTTATTAATGAATACCATAGTTCTATCTGCACTTCCACGCACACACAGTAACTGTCTAACCTATTAACCACTAATATACTGCATGTTTCAATAGGCACCTGAAAAAACCCCGGCCAGAGGTCGAACCACCGTAAGTTATTATCAGCACCATCATTATATTCATTGTGAATGTCTATAACAACCGTTTTTTTAATAACCAATCTATAGGAAAATGAAACCTTTATGCTAAGTTATAAAGTTCATACTGCGTTTGCACCGAAATCCGTCACTTTTTGCAAGTCAAAAATGGGCTTTGCGTCAGCGAGATAAAGTATTTTTGTTTAATCTCTAATTAAATTACTATATGATGGTTAGATTAGAAAGGATGTGCCTTATGTACTTAATAATAAAGGTGAACTTTGCAAAATCCAGACATTGGTTATCAAAAAATGTCAACTATCATTGTATTCCTAACCAAGTGTTAATAAGCAAATTCATGATGAGGAAATGAAGTCGCTATTACAAAATGATATTTTTCTATATACTTGGTTGATTATACGGCAAATAAATAAAAGGTATATGGGTTATTATTATTATTTGCACCATGCACTGATATATTTTATTAAAACAAATATGTGTATCCAAGAAAATTATTGATGTAATTTTTTTCCTTTCGAAGGAAAATCGTTTTTGGTTTAATCGTAAAGTCATTGTGATGTGATGTCATGTCAGCTTTTTACTTGTATTCGTCTATTTTATTTCAAAGCAGTAACACTAATGTATTGTATATTATTTATTTCAGGAAGAGAAGAAGAACGTGCCGGGCGCTGCATCAGGCCTAACTGTCACAGTCACAACACTGTTAACGGCTCTAATTGTGTCGTTACTCATCTAAGCTACACCTATTAATTTATAATTAAACGCTCCTATATTTAACTTTAATTATAAAAACGCTATAAAAACGATTATACCTAAACCAAAGGTACAAATCAATAGGTCATAAGCGATCAAAACCGCCGGTGCTGCCATCTGCGTAAAACAAAAAATGCAAAAAATTAAAAGTCCAATTTACCATTACAAGGAAAAATATTTTAGATGCCTTTTTTATATACATTGTTTATGACAAGGTCGCATATTATTTTTTTAATTTTATATGTAGTTATTTTATTTTTGGGGGTAGCCGTGGATTGAACAAAGTAATAAATGTAAGGTGTATACGATTGTTGTGAAACAACATTATGCGTCTAGGGTTTGAGAGACGAAGTAGTAAGTAGAGAGCGATCAACATAATGTAAAACAACTTTAACATAATCGTATGAGTTACTAATTTCATTGAAACCGGGACTCATAATCATGAGTTTCGTGCGCTGCGGACTTACGAATAGCTAACAGTTATCCGGATATTTCAACCAACATTTTTAGCTATGACAATGGCAGTTATTACAAAGAACGGACGTCAATGTACAGTGACAATGACGTCACATCTCCTTATGAACAACAGAACTTCTTTGTTCTCTTTTATAAATACATTTTTATTATTTTTCAAGCAGCTACACCTCGGTCAGCTATGAAAGATGTCGCAGGTTCGACATTTTATGTACTAGTCAGCAGGTCTATCCTTTGCTGTCAAATTTCTTTATTAGATTTTTAACTCTATCGTTTAGAAATGAAGTCGGAAATACAATGACAAAAATTGGTATTTGAATTGGTTAATATGCTAGCGACTGTACAAATATTTTATAAATGTTGATATGTTATTCATTAATGCTTATACTTCGTCTCTAATGAGAGTGAGTAAGGATAAAAGGGCTCGAGTTGTAATTAAACAGGTATTTTCATTATAAGACAATCTGCTGAATATCAGCTTTTACGTGTATATTGTTGTAGCTATTTTTATATTTATTATATGTATTTTGTAATTATTGGCGTTTTATTTGGCCTGCAAATTACTATGCTAAAAAAATTAGCGGTTTTTGATATATTCTTTATGGTCATTCTGTTTTTATATTATTAAAGTTGTGTATTTCATGAGTGCAGTTACATGTAGTTTATTTTTAATCACATAGAGCTCGATGTTTTTTACAAATGTAATGTGATCGCCAAGTACATATCGTTCGTTATATTTTCATAGTATATTTGCCAAAAAACGTGGCCAACGAAATCGTGACGCTTAGCTTTAAGTCATAAGTACAGAAGTTCTGCTTTCATAATATTTTTACCAATTTGTCACAAAGTGTAATAAATGTAGAAGAATGTTTGGTCCATTTTAAATATGGCCGTCCGAAGAGATGTATCGAGGCATCTATAAACGAAATGCCGTAAGTCCATTGGCTAAAAAACTGTAATCTGTAAGGAATAGAGTCGAAAATAGTGTGTAAAATGAAACAGTCTCGCTTAGTAATTGGTTAATGCTTCTGTCCATTGATTTTAGGCGTAAGTGACCGTCGGTGTTAGGGTTGGTGTTGTAGACTTAGTAATAGTACAATATAGGATGTCATAATACAAGAAATACCATTCCTCAATGAGGGTAACCGTTTATTGCTCACTAGATTGCCCTAATCTAGCAAGAAGTCTTTGGCCAATCACTGTAGCTCTCAATAACTAAACGTCCAATAGTGTGACACTAGCTAACTCCCTATTGGACGAAGAACGAGAGCACACTAACGCCATCTACTGAGCAAAATACAGTAGCCCCCATTATTTTTAGCTTTTTAAGTACATGGTTTGTGATTATATCGCCTAACTTTATTCAGACTTGCTATTTTTATATTAGGTTACGCCAATATGTGATGCCAACTATATTCAGTTTTATATGTAGTTTTTAATTGTGACTGGTTTGTATCATCATGTTTGTTGAAGAATAGCAATAAAGGGACACTTATTTACTGTGAACATACAAGGAGTTAAATCGAGGTATATTTTGTTTTTGCTTTAATTTATTACCTACATTTCATGTTTCATTTTTAAACGTCTCTTTTATTAATAGTTATGTGATGGCAGGATTTTTTACTCTTTATGTAACTTCATTTCTAATAATTGACATTTAAATTGACCCGTCTCATGTTTTGTTTAATTAATTTTGATTCTTTTGGCATTAGTTTAAGGTAACATTTTAATAATCAGTATACCAACTATTTTCAGCTATTGGTAAATGCTGTCTTAATACTAGCGCAATAGAAATCAAAATCAATTGAGTTAATTCTAAGATTATTATAAATGTCTTTTATTATTGAAATGAAGGAATAAATAATGTTGTGAGGTTTAAAATTATTTTGTGATCATAGTAGTGTTTTACTTTTTTAATTAAAACTAGATATTTTAAAAATACAAACTATTGCTTTGTCGACTGTTCAATAGAAGCCATATTGTCTATGTCAGGAGTACGTAGAATCGATGTCCGGTAGATAAATAGATAATTGTATATGTTGCTACGTGGTGTATAACCATTTTACAATATTTGCAAATAAATGATGGAAAGTATAACATAATTTGCTTTATTTCTATACAACCTTATTTCAATGTACCTATAATAGTTTTTTTCAGTATTGTTAGTGCAATAGGCTCACCCCCTATTCCATGGGACTCATAACATAAATAGTGAATAGTGGGTGTTACATTGTACAGTGGCATTAAGTGCCTAATGTGCACCTCTGCCTACCCCTTCGGGAATAAAAGGCGTGAAGTTGTTAGTATACCTGCCATATTTCCGATATAAAAATCCTTTAAAAAGTTAAAAACAGGCCAATGAGGTGTTCTATACCTATTCGAGAAGACTCTGACCCTTTCGCTATGCGATGCCACAGATTAAATAGTACCTATTGGCTATTAACTCGTCGAGTACCGGTTTTATAGACACAATTAAAGAACAATAGGTCGCGGTCACCGGTGACCGCTCGGTGTTTGACAGATTAAGGGTGTCCCTGAAGTTGACCATGAAATGGCGCCAAATTATAGGCTAGGTTCTAAGAGTTATCAGAAAAATATATAAAAAATTCTAAGTGTGAAGACTTATGTATTATCAAAGTCAAAGCATTTATTTCAATTAAACCATAATTTGGTACTTTTGAAACTTCAACAAATCAAAATAAATAATAGTCTGTCAGTCAGTCCGTCAGTGAAGTGGCGCTTATTCCAAAATGTAGATTCGAATGGAGAAGAACGAGCAAGAAACTCCATTCGTTACTCTTTTTAAAAAAAAGTATGTTCTACAATGTCTCTGATACATGTTCCAATACTGTACGTATATGTGAGAACAATGCAAAGACACGCTTGATATAAATATATCCATGATAAAGTAGACCCTGTGCCATTTTTATGACTCTTGTTGCTACAATTCTATATTTTTTCGTCTCTATTTTTGCTTGTGTTATCCTGAATATTACTGCAGTATAGTGATGAAGAAAATGATGTTTTTTGACAAAAGTTCTTAGTAAATTTTTCAAGTGACTACTGAAAACAATTTATACTGCGCTGGTAGTGGGAAATTTCAACAAAGTTGACACCTATGGATTCTGAAATGATACATACCCACGGCCCACGCGCAACATGATATTATGTTAAACATGTTGGAAATCACCGAGGATCTCTTGTTAAACCACATCGTCTGTCTAATCATGATTTCGCTAGCAGCATTCGTCGGTAATATTGTCTCTGGAGGAACAAGTTTGTGCCTCACGTCTCTCTAAAGAATATTTGATATTCAACTACAGTGGCATGGAAACAATTAACCTTTTGAGCGCCAGGGTCACAAATACGTGACAAGCGAAAACTGTCCCTGAGCGCCAACGACACAAATATGTGACAAAAACAGCGGTACATTAAAACACGAAATAAACTATTTAAACATTACTTTAATGCCTATTTATTTATATACCTGTAAAATAGAAGGTCCAAAATTTATTTATTTCCATAAAACTAATTAAATTGCATTATAAATATTGAGAAATTTTACGTTAAAAAGAAAGAAATAAACTCTGAAAAAAGAATGTCCTCACACGCCAGAGTCATAACTGCGTGACCGCTAGTGATGTAGCGCATGTTGGATAATTATCATTATTTCAAATCAAAGATCGATTCGAAACTTTCATCTGGAATATAATATTTTAGGTATAATTTGGTACTAGGATAAAGCAGCATTAATTTTATAAAACCAGTCTTAAAAATCATTCCATAAGCTACATAGTCAAAAATAAAATTTGGTTGGGTCGAATTTCGATATTCACTAATCCCAACTCAAGCGCATCCCTAACGCAACCCGAATTATCAGTACCCTGTACGCCATGGTCACGACTAGACGACAATATCGTGACGTCACAAGCGCGGCAACCAGAAATTAGTGAAGTGAATGAATAATATTTATGATTAATTTACTTGTGATATCGAGTTCAAGATTTATATTAAGTGACTATTATAATGAGTGGGAATTTAATGACTACGGAAGAAGAGCGAGAGTATTTGACTCGAAACTTTTATTCTAAGTGTGGGCTCCATATTTACCTATAACTTCGTGGAATAAAGTCTGCCAAAAGTTCCTTTTTTAGCCACGGTGCGCGCTGAGATCGATTTCACTGTCCCCACCACCCACTTTGCACCCAGCGAATTAGATGATCAGAATGCAGGTTGCATTGTAGATTTTGTATAATTTTGTTCTATTATTCAAAAGATTTATTAGTATAAGACTGATTGGTAATTGTGATAATTATATATACCTAATCGTTAATTGTTTTAATTTGTTACTTTTTATGCCAGGTTTATAGAACTTAATATTTAAAAACATGTATACATAGTACATACTGTATAACATTTTATTAAAATTTTCTATTTTTTCATAGTTTTTATTTACCTTCTTAACCTATTTCAATCATATATTTTTAAGTACCTGTTACATTCGGAATT